GTGTGGAGCCGACATGTGGCTGCCCGCTTCGACTTGAAAGCCGCCTCGGTTGTATGACTTCCAATTTTGAGCAATACAAATTTATTTAACGATAAAAAAAATAAATAAATAAATAAATATTAATTTAACTTTAGGGTAAGAGCATTTTTAATAAATAAATCATATAAATCTCGTTTTACACTCTTCAACATGTCACATCATTCAAAATTTCATTATTTTTCTTGCACTCATAAACGTACAATAACAATATAAATCCCATAAACATTCCTTTTTATGGGTCTCACACGTTTCTTACTTATTTTTAAGTAATATTATATTTTTATATTTTTTTTAATATTTTAAAACTATAACTCAACATTATAGTTTTGTTCAATCTAAAATATTTCATAAATTCATCATAAATACATATAAAAAATAATATAACTATACTGCATTATTTATAATTATAGAGTGTTAATTATGTACCAATATAAAATTTTACTTTAAAAACAATTACGAAACATAGAACTCACATAATGTTGAAAACTAAAATTCGAGTATGTACTGCCCGATAATATGTATGATATTTTCGTTGAAAACTAAAATTCGAGTATGTACTGTTAGTGGTTTTATAGAACACATATATAAATATATACCAAAATGTAAAAGTACATAATAAATGTACATAGAGGTGTACATAACAGTGAAATAGAATGGAGTCCACTTGATTTTTATTTTTGGTAGGTCTCACTCAATGTGAGTGTTATGTATATCCCTATGTACATTATTATATACCTATAGCATTTCTCAAATATATATATATGATTAACCTTTATGTAGCGGAAGCGAAAACTTGTCTGTATCTTTTATCCGACGGCTACTAGAGACGTTGGTATCCTCCACGCTCTAAAACCCGAGCCGCCTTATGATGATTTCGGTTCAACAAGAAATATATACACTTAAAGATTATTTGTTGTGATATAAACTCAAATTCTTTTTCTTCTTCTCGTGTCACACTTTCAAGATGCACAAAAGTACCTTATTTATAGTTATCTTCATACAATTATTCGCTTAATGAAGGCTTCAATGCCCATTTCATAACTTCATACATAATGGAGATGTAGTTGTAACACCACCACCTTTAAGTGGATGTTACCAATTGATGCAAATAACATCAATTAAAAACAATAATTAGGAAAATGCATCGTCTTAAATGGGCTTCCTCGTCCTCACAACATCATAAATCAATTCTCCTGATTTTTCCTACACAAATCGACACATCATGAATGAGTTCACTTGCCTTCTCTAAAAGGGATTCCACCAAATTAACAACTTCACTCGACCCTTTTAGAGAAGAATCGACATTTTGTAGAAGTTCACACAACTTTTTCAACATTGTTTCCTCAAAATCAAGACAATCACTCACAACCGAAGTAGAGATTTCCATAACATCATGAATCATCTCATCCTCTTCAAAGTCATCCTCCCGAGAATGAACAAGTCCGCTAGATTATCCAAATTCATGGTTAGGCACAGTCAACTCCTTCTTCAAAGAAATATCACCCATACCATACACCATCACATTCTCCGATCCCATATACTCACTCTAAAAAATAGAATTTGAATTCAAAGCAGAATCACATGAAAAGAGGTTTGACATACATAGTGTGGAATACAAGTTTGAATCGTCAATAGTGTATATTTCTTTAACGACCAAATCATCTATGTCCTCACTCGCGTCAAGAGATTTTTTACCAGCATATACGAGACTACGACCCATCACTTTCATGGAGGTAAACCGATCCACCACTGCTCAAAACTTCCCTTCTAGCTAGCTACTTACTCTTTCGGATAATCATCGTCGATGGAGAACAATATCTTAAGTAGAATTTGATGTACATTGAGTCAAGAAAATTAAACATGGTAAAGTCAAATTTCATGAGTGTCACTTGAAGAACTGATGAAATGGGTATACTCCTCCAAATGTGAAACTCCTCGATGATCGACATAATGCTTACAAGTGCCTCTTTTGTGCTTGCCAAAATCTCTTGGTAACACTCAAAAGGCTCAAATCTTGTTAAAATGAAGCTTCAGACCTTGATGTACTAGGTTGACCAACCGATTGGTGCTCGTATGAAGGAGATGATGGATCATACGACTCAGTTTCTTCTTTTCATACATTAAAACCATTGAAGAGCAAAGAGATTGATTGCACTTCTCCAAGATGTCAAAAGTTTCATCCAAACGGCCTGGAGAAGATTTGAGCTGACTCAGGTGGAGGTTTTAATCATAATAATATAGAGGCGACAAATAGTAATAGTAAAAAAGAGTAGAGACATGTAGTATGGTGACTAGTAGTAACTTGAGGTGTCATAATCATTTTCGGCTCGATATGCCCGATAAGAATGGCTCGATCTACACCCTGGGATGTAGAGTATCCATCAAAAGAATAAAAAGGTGGATAGCTCGGGTGCGAACAAGGTGGCTCACCATACGGTCGGTACATCTCCTCTAGGTAGTTATTGGAGTATCCACGAGATAAGCTTCCGATAGAATAATAGTCGTACAGGACCATCGGAGCTCCTCAAGCAAATACCTTACAAAAGAACAACAAACCAAAGCACACAAGACCAAAAAATGAAAATTTCAAAATACGGGAAAAACACAAATACAAATAGCATGGAACAATATTCACAAAATTACAAACACCAAAATAGCAAGAGAAGAGAAAAGAAGAAAAATAATATAGAATAACACATAAAATTAAGCAATTTCATAAAAAATAAATAAATAAATAAGAGAAATACAGAAAATAACTCAACTAATTATCTAAACTCAATGTCGTACTCGCCTTCCGCGTAACGGTGCTATTTTGTTTGTACTTCTTTTTTTTTTTTCCGAGTACTATTGTGAAGACTAACCTCGGGTCATCTTGCAAAGAAAGAATATTCAGAATCGGATTCGGGCAATTATTGATTCACAAAATCAAAAAGTAGAGTCCTAAGTACTCAAATTGCAAGTTGGTTATTTGTTTTAAGCTAGTGTGAAAACAAGCAGACTTAGTTAAAAGCAAGTGTGCTAAGTCGAGCGCATGAGAAACCTCAAATTACAATAAAAATGAAGATGAAAAGAAGAAGACTAAGAACATCAAAACCCGAGATGGAAAGGAGATACCACAAGGTTTGGGAATATAAAATCAAGCAATAGTCACTCGCGATAAATTAATCGAGCTATCAATCAATATTCACTTACACAATCAATAACAAAATCATATGGTCCCTACCCTCTGAGGAAATAACTTATTCTATTCATGAAAGTAATTTCAAACTTTACTTAAGAAAATATCCAAAAAATACAACTAAGCAAAGTTAAATTTACTTACGAGATTTTAAACTTTTGATTAAGTCTTTAGTCGCATCAACAAGTAAAAAATAAGCGGAAAATTTGCAATCTTGATGGAGAATTAAAACAATAAAAGTTAGATTTTTGAACGCTTTAGTTTTCTAAGAGGAAAAATTTCAAAGTGAGAGAAATTTTAAAAAGAGAAATTTTTGCAAATGAGGAAATATTCTAAAAATGTAAAGAATAAATATTCTTATACTACTAGCCAAAACACACTCTGAAAAATACATTAAAAACACATGTTTAATAACTAGAACTCGCGCGGCAATATGCGCAAAAAGAGATATTTACGGGAGTGTGGACAATTAGCTGGAAAACATGCGGAACGCGCAGTACTTTACGAGAGCGAAGTTCACGGCTTGGCAGGACGTGAACTAGCCTGAAACCTCGCATGCCAGGCGGAAAGTTTCGTTGTGCCCACGAATTTGCACATTGATGGCGAGAGAGCGAAGCTTGGAAGCCGAGCTAGAAGTCTCGCGCGGGGCACGACATTTGCAAGGTAAAATAGTGTGGAATTTGCAGGTTTGGCCAGGTTATTCGCGGCCCGAACCAGGTTTGGCCTGGTTCGGACGGGATTGCGACTTGTGCTCAATGTCATATTCCTCTTCAAATCATCGCACACACATTCAGATGAATTTTCCAACACTTCCAAATGGAATTTTCATTAACTACTAGAAAATTAATTATAAAAAGAGAAATATAATGCCAAAAAAAAAAACGACACTAAAATATGAAAATAAACATAAAATTTTAAAATAAATTTAAACGAGCACAAATTAATCGCCTAAAATTCATAAAATAACAACAACAACGTACAAACATATGTATTTTCTTACAAGAATAATTTCTACCACTAATAGTAGTGCTGTTAACTTAAGCGAGTCTGACTCGGCTTGGCTCGATTAGTTAAGCCTTGAGTTCGAGGCCTTTACGAGACGAGATCGACCTCAACTAAAACTCGTTTGGTTAATGAGCCGAGTTCGGCTCGACTCGATGAGTCTCGTCAAGTCTCGAGAAGAGAATTTTTATATAATAATTTATCATAGTTTAGCTCGTTAAAACTCGAGATCAACTCGTTAAGGCTCGATCTCGAGGCCCTAACGACCCGAGCTCGAGCTCTATTTTTAGCTTATTCATTTAACGAGCCGAGCTCGATCTCGAGCACATTAAGCTCAAGCTCAGCTCGGCTGATTTACTGCTCGAAATAATAGTATTATATATTTAAAAGATGTCACTGAGATCTTATAAAAATGCTACAATTCCGTTACGGTACTATTCTGTCAGGATTTATAACTGTTAGATCATCATGTAACTGTCGTAGATAGTTGATCTAACGGTTAAAGAATAGTTCTGTAACGGGAACATAGAATCTCCCGAGATCTTAATATATAAAGTAGACACGTTTTAAAGTTGTCATTTAGATAGTTGAACTATTCTGCGTTAAACATCACTATGTACATTACAAGTTTGTATTGAAGGTCAAATAAAAGTTGTCCCTCGTCACATCTATATATAAGACCAAATAATGGAAACCAACTGCCGCTCTTTCTCAATCCTCTCTCTTTAGTCTTCAACGCAGCCTAAGTCCAGTCTCTGAAACACACCCAATTCTGAAATTAATGGACAACCCGACCCGCTGCTCCGTTATCATAGTCGGAGCTGGAATCTCAGGCAAATCTCCTCCCTTGCTCTCTTTAATTAATTAATTAATGTATTAGTGTTAAAATGGTGATTAAATTAGTGGGTTGTTTTTGCAGGAATAACGGCTGCGAAGGTGCTGGCGGAGAATGGAGTGGAGGACGTGGTGATACTGGAGGCGGCGGACACGATTGGCGGCCGGATAAGGAAGGAGAAGTTCGGCGGCGTCACGGTGGAGCTCGGCGCCGGATGGATCGCCGGCGTCGGCGGGAAGCAGTCGAACCCGGTCTGGGAGCTGGCCCGCCGGTCCAATCTCCGCACGTGTTTCTCCGACTACAGCAACGCCCGTTACAACATTTACGATCACAGGTGACGTAACAAACATTCTAATAATAATAATAATAATTATGATAATAATAATTGAAATTAAATATAAATTACACGAAAAATTGATAATCCACGTGTGTAAAAATGAATGAATGAAGGAAGGAGATTCGATTATGGTTTATTGAATTTTTGCGTTTTGACCCCCAAAATGCATTCTCATTTATTTTCAATAAATCTCATCACCGCCCCATTTACACCATTCGTCTGATTTGAGTTGAACAAGTCCAGATCGGACTGAGCGTGTGGGTCCCGCACACTAATCATTTTTTTCCGTTTTAATGGAACTTTAGTTGATTAAAATTTTAGGAAATGTTATACGGAATTATACCGTCGAGCACTGTTGGATCATTACGTAACTGTTGAATAATTGATTTTACGGTTATAAACTCGACGAGATGGTTCCGTAACGACGAAATCTCGTTTTAATGATTTTTTGCTCTTATGTTAATCTGGTGTATTAATTAAAGATACTAACTAATCATATCTCAGCAAGATCTGAAAGCCCACAGAAATCATGTTTTTATTTTATTTTAATTTGGTGCGTAGCTTTACGTAAGAAAATAGAGTTTAGTTAGAGGTTAGATTTGACCTAATCTGGCTGTCTTATCAGGTAAATGATGCGATTTTATGATAATGACGGTCATCGCATTACATTCGATTTTGTTATGAAACCAACAGTTGGCTCCATAATAAAACCAATTTTTTGTATACAACAAGTAAACCTACTATATTCTTTGATTACTTAAATAACATTAATATAATTTTATTAATATGGTAAGTTTATTTGTTGTATATAGAGAGTTGACTCTACTATAAAGCCAACTGTTAGCGTCATATCAAAACCGACGTCACATCAATTAAATTAAAATAGTTTAATTTTCATTGTCTTTTGTTAATCAATCAAATAGAAATATTTAAATTAATGAATTTATTAATTAATTGTGTGGGCAGTGGGAAGATATTTCCGAGCGGCGTAGCGGCGCAGTCCTACCAGAAGGCGGTGGAGTCTGCCATACAGAAGCTACGCCACCTGGAATCCAATCCACACGTTCAACCCAATTTACTTCCAACCGATGACATGGCTCCGTATGTGTTGTGCTGTGCTTTTTTTTTCTTTTTCTAATTACTAATTATTAATTAATGGATTGATTAATTAATTAATAAGCTAATTTTGGAAGATGCTACGATCCGGTTACGAAGCTATTTAGTATACGTTAGATCAACTATCTCTGACGGTTATATGATGATCTAACGATTACAAGTCTCGACAGAATAGTACCGTAACAAGATCTTAACATTTCCACGCTAATTTATTGCCCTAATTTCGGATCAACTTGATGTGCAGAGCTCCAAAGTCTCCAATAGAGCTGGCAATTGACTTTATCCTTCATGACTTTGAAATGGCAGGTCACCCTTTACTAGTTAAATAAATACTACTTTAATTGTAAAATAATATTTTTTTCGCTAAAAAAAAAAAGTTACTGAAAATGACCAAAGATAAATAAAATAATGTAAATATATTATTATTATGTTATAAATTTTGTATGTACAGAGGTGGAACCAATATCAACTTATGTAGATTTTGGTGAGAGGGAGTTTCTGGTAGCTGATGAGAGAGGGTACGAGCATTTGCTGTACAAAATGGCGGAGACTTTTCTTGCCACGTCACACGGTCAAATCACGGACACGCGGTTAAAACTCAATCAGGTAAAAATATACATACACCAACACTTTTACAAATTAATACACCATCTTTATCGTTTTTGCAAATCGATACATGAATGACGGTTCCGTTGACAAAATCTAACGAAGTCTGACGTGGCATTAAGACTATCTTTATCCGTGACCCACTAGTTGGGTCACGGCAATAAAACCAAATAAAAAAAAAAGAAAAACTAAAAAAAAAAGAAAAGGTTATAACTTGCGCGATGCGACCGATTCTTATGTAAAAAATGGGACACTTGTCTCATTTTTATTAGATAGGTGTATTTTTTTATTTTTTTTTAAAAAAATTACTAAAATTCATATTTTTTCATTCTCTACAAATAGAGACCACACTTGATATATTTTAGGACACAATTGTAATTTTTAAATAAATTAAAATAAAATAAATATTTAGGTTGAGTTGGGTTGGGGATAAAGATAAATTTATTTGTGAGGTTGAGTTGTGTAAGTAGAGGAGAAAGAAATAATTTTTAATTGTTAGGTTGGGTTGGGTTGAGTTGTGGATAAAAATAGTCTAAGCCATGTCAATGTCGTGTCAGATTTTTGTTAATGAAACCGTCATTCATGTATCGATTTGCAAAAAAATAATGAAGATAGTGTATTAATTTACAAAACTTTAATGATATGATTAAATTAAAAAAACATGAAAAGGTGGTGTGTTTCCTTTGTTATCGCCCCTATATATAATTCCCGAATGCGCTGAGCCTACGTGGCTGCTTGTGGTGCTTCGCAATCCTACTTGGCGAAGAATCATGCTTCGTAATTAGGTTCGGACAAATGATATTGATATATTAATAATTAATATCTAGGTTCGGACATTCCATAAATATTATTTAGCTAACTTAGGTATTTTAATATCACTTGTACTAATATAACCCTTTAATTCTTTGTAATTTTACTGAGACACTAAGTGAAACATATATCCATGACTTTTGATTTGTTTCCTTCAATTAGCTATTGAATTATACATGTATTTTAAAAGTTGATAACTTTTGTATTTCTTATCGGTTTTACATATATAATATATCGAATTAATCATCTTTTCATGATCTTCGATTTGACATCCATATTGTATATATAAAATAAATAAATAATATTTACCTTTATAATAATAAAAAATAGTATTTATTAAATTTTATTAAAAAAATAAAATTATTTCTCAGTTGATATATTTTTGTTTAATGTAGTTATATGTTGTAAGTTAAAAAAAATATTATAATATAACACAAGTAAGTCACACAAATAAAAAGTGT